TTTCTTTCTTTCTTTCTTTCTTTCTTTCTTTCTTTCTTTCTTTCTTTTTTAAGATTTTATTTATTTGATAGAGAGAGACACAGCAAGAGAGGGAACACAAGCAGGGGGAGCGGGAGAGGGAAAAGCAGGCTTCCCGAGGAGCAGGGAGCCCGATGTGGAGCTCGATCCCAGAACCCCGGGATCATGATCTGAGCCGAAGGCAGCCGCTTAACAACTGAGCCACCCAGGCACCCTCATGGTGTTATTCCTAAGAACAACTTGTTTTTCCTTTCCCATGAACTGTTGCTATCTTTTACCCATTTTTCTATTGGGTTTTAATCCTTTTGTAATTCATAGGACATGTTATAATTCTTTACATGTTATAAAATTTGTCTTTCTGGGGCGCCTGGCTGGCTCCATCAGAGGAGCCTGTGACTCTTGATCTCGGGGTCATGAGTTTGAGCCCCGTGTTGAGTGTAGAGATTACTTAAATAAATAAAATAAAATAAAGCTTGCCTTTCTGTGCTTGAGATGCAATTTTTTTTTCCAGTTTGTCATTTGTTTCTTTACTTCCCATGATTATATTTTATTTTCATGAAATCAAATATAACTATCTTTTCCTTTAGGTCTTCTGAATTTTGTGTTATAATCAAAAGGGTCTTCTCCACTTCTCCCAGAAATTCTTTTGGTACTTTTATGGTTTCCCTCTTTCCATTTAAATCCTTGATCCATTTGGCATTTTTCCAGGTGTAAGATATGAAGTATGGATTTAACTCTTTTTTCCCCACAGATGCTTTGTAGTTGTCCCAAATCATTTATTGTATGAAATCTCTTATCTTCACCAATTTGAAATACCACCTTTATTGAATAATAAATGCCTACCTGTGTTTGGGTCTATTTGGGAATTTCTCTTCTGCTGATTTGTTGAACTAATTAGACGCCAGTACCTAACAGGTTTTGTTTTTGTTTTGGTTTTGTTTTGTTTTGTTTTGTTTTGTTTTAAGGTAAACTCTACACTCATTGTCGGGCTTACACTCATGACCCAGAGATCAAGAGTCACATGCTCTACTGAGTGAGCCAGCCAGGAGCCCAGGTAACAGTTTTAACTAGTACGACATGATAATATGTTTATTACTTGGGCAGGCACTTTCAGAAATGTTTTCTTGTTAGTTTTTCCACAAGAAGACTTGGCTCATCTAGTTCCAAAATAAAGTCTTGCTTTTTTTTTTTTTTTATTAGGATCTCAATAGGGGCACCTGGGTGGCTCAGTCAGTTAAGTGTCTGCCTTCAGCTCGGGTCATGATCCCAGGGTCCTGGGACCAAGCCCCGCATCAGGCTTCCTGCTCTGCGGGAGGCCTGCTTCTCTCTCTCCCACTGCCCCTGCTTGTGTTCCCTCTCTCGCTGGTGTCTCTCTCTGTCAAATAAATAAAATCTTAAAAAAAAAGATCTCAATATCTCTGATATCTTAATGATGCATAGTCTTGCTAGTCAAGAACATAGCTTATATTTCTGTTCAAGTCTTTTTCTGCATCCTTCTGTAGAATTTAAATCTTCTCTTCATATAGATTGTGCATCGTTATTGTAAAATTTATTCCTAGGAATTTTCTTTTTTTTACTGATTTGTAAATGATGTCTTTTTTTGACAAAAAGATGTCAAGATGTCATCATGATGTCACAATGTCAAGATGTAATGATGTTATTCCATCTTCTAAGATATAATGCTCTCCCTCTAAGATGCTGAAATAGCCCCAGGGGAGCAGTCTACCTCAAATAATCTTGAGAATTACCAGACTAGCAAGTAGTTCTCAACTGTATTTGCCCTTGCAACATATCCTATGAGTGATTTTGACATACACCAATCAAACTTACAGGTGTTCCTTGTTTTTTTAGGGACTCTAGCACAGATGAGAGGCTGTGGTTCTTCAGTAGCTGATGGCAATGTATGTGTACAGCCACTGTCTTAGGGGCCAGGGACACCATGATGATCAAGACAGCCTGAGTCCCTGCCCTCATGGAAGGTGATCACATAGTCCTAGCCAAACAGAGCAAACTCAGCAGAAAATCAAATAATTATAAGGGTGCAAAGTTCTGCTATGGGGCCATGAGAGTGTAGCAGAGGTCATTCGTCAGGTGTTAACATCCGCTAACATCCACACCCGAGGCTTCAATTAACTCTCAAATGCTACCCACTCACACATTACGTTTCCAGTTCTGGCTCTCCTCTGAGCTCCAGACCTGCCATTTGCACTTCCCAACAGGAGGTGGAGTCTAATCCCCCTCTCTTTGGATCTGGACAGGCTTACGTCTCATTTGTAGCCAGGACACTACAGCAGACGTGACTCTAGATGATGCCCGAGGCTAGGCCACATAAAGCAAATGCAGCTCCGCCTTGCTCTCTGGGACACTCACTCTTGAAGCCTTCAGCCACCTTGTAAACAGTCTGACAGCCCTGAGGTTGCCATGCTGTGAGGAAGCCCATAGTAGCCGGTGCAGAGACCCCCGTGGACAGTCTCTGAGGCTCCATGAAGAGGGAAAGGCCCAGCCAGTCCCCAGGTGTTCTATCACCCAGTGGTCCAGCTCTACATTAGAAACCCAAGTTAGAAGAGTCTAGCCAAACTCTTTCCTAATTCCTGACCCGCAGATCTACGAGAGATGATAATATGATTACTGTTCTTTTAAGCCACTCCATTTGGAAGTGATTTGTTTTGTAGCAATAGTAACTAGCATCTGGGCCACGTGGTTTTGTACATTTTTTCCTCCTACTTGGAACCCTTTCTGCACCCCTTTCGCCTAGTTACCCTGTACATATTCTTCAGATCTTTGCTGCAGAACCATCCCTAAACCTTGAAACCTGGGTTCATAGTGCCCTCATAATACCAGGTACCTTTTTTTTCCTGTACTCATCACTGTTGTATTTGGAGATTCTCTGACCAGGGTCTGTCTTCCTGACAAGTCTTCAGCTCCACAGAAAAGCATGCAGTTACACAATAGGCCAGGCACGGCAAACTTAAATGTCAACAAGGAAAATAACATAAACAGAGAGACATGGGTAGGGTGGGGACTGCAGTGACATGAAAAGTATGTGTCCACCTATAGGGTGTAGCTGCCACTTTGCAGGCTCTGTGCAGCCAAATATGCCTCATTTTTAAAAGAGCTGATACTAACCCAGATGATTATTACTATTAGTTTTTAAAGATTTTATTTGAGAGAGGATGCGCATGCACACGTACACACACACGGGGGTGGGGGGGAAGGGCAGAGGGAGAAGCAGGCTACCCACTGAGCAGGGAGCCCAAAGTGGGCCTGGATCCCATGACCCTGAGATCATGACCTGAGCCGAAGGTAGACGCTTAACCAACTGAGCCACCCAGGCACCCCCACAAAACCAGGTTATTATGTAAGTGTTAGAATGATAGCAACTAATTAAAACTAAAAACACAGATGAAAGAAAAAGGAAGAAAAACAACAACAAGCTGAAGATTTAATACTCCTTGGGTTTTTTGGGGGGAGGTGTTGTTTTTGTTTTTCCCTCGGGTCAGCACAGATCAAGCGCGGGGCTACAGATTGGTCAGACAATACATATGACCCCTTCAGGTTCAGGTGGTCCCCAGCCACCTGACCACAGGGCTGTTCTCAACACTCCTTATTTTTTGAGAATGACTCTGAACTTGCTTTGTGTAATCAAGGAATTGTATTTAACTGAGGCATAGGTTAGCTGTGGGGCTGGCTGGGTTCAGGAGTGGGTCACTTAGATTTGTTTTCTCTCTTTGTACTGTGAGTTAAATTCTCTTCTAGGGGCCTGCAGACTTCTTGACTCTTGCCAAATAATAAAGGAATTATTTATTTTTCTTAGAGATGAAGGTGGAAATAAGAAACTGTAACCATTAAGTAAATTACACTAAATTCTCTGTGTTCCTTCCTAGAATGTAAATTACATACATTTATAATAAGGAATGGGAACATGAAAATCAATAAAAACCCTGTGAGAAGTTGATTTTTATCTAAAAAAATTATACTTCATGTTATCTATGTATCTATTAAAAAATGGAAAAAGAGGTATCAAGCCATGAAAAAACATGGAGGAAACTTCGCATATTACTAACTGGAAGAAGCCAATCTGAAAAGGCTACAGACTGCATGACTCCAGCTATATGACATTTCTGGAAAAGGCAAAATATGGAGTTGGTAAAAAAGATCAGTGATTGCTAGGGGTGAGGGGAGGAAGGGGGAGACAGTACCCTAAGAACATGTGACCCCTGGAATGACACATGATTGGTCACTAGCAAGAGCAGATCGCAGCTTAGGCTGCTCACAGCAGCACGCTTAGAGCTTCACAACTCTAAAGAGAGTCCTGTCACTCTTCAGTCGGGGAAGATGAGGCAGAGTATCAAGCTCTACTGATTCTCATGTCCACTGGGTAAGATAGGAAACTGTTCTTATTTAACTAAGGGGGAACTGAGGCCCAGCTGTATCAGGATCCAAATCGTGGAATAAAATCCCAAAATTGGGATCAGGGGAAAAAAAATAGAGGGATCGCCCCTTCAATATATGGAAGGAGGGAAATAAGTTGAGACTGGAAATCATCTGCCCGTCACTTGGGTCTCCACAGGTGATAGTAAAATGGGTCAGAACATCCCCTCTACCTTTACACCTCTGAAGAGATTGTGTGGGGACCTCAGCTTTGAGTTTAGAGAAACCCCTCTGTGTCCGCTCCTTTACCCAGTGAGCTACGGGGTCGACTGCTTAGGAGTTAGAAAACAATTCTCCTTTACCAGAGGGCTGGACAATATCTGACTGTTGCTTACCACTGTCTTGGACTGGCACTAACTGGACAGTTAAAGTCCTTTGACTGTTTTTGATGTCCCGAAATTCAATCTAATTTTACAAGCCGAGTAAGGGGGCCTGGTCCAGAGAAAAGTGTCCTCTGGGCCAGGGGCAAGGTCCCAAAGCCATGTTTGGAGAGGCCCCTTCAGCCACAGGACCTCATATCATGAATTTATGCAAATTAAACTGCATTGCCTTGGCAAGAAAGATTGAGCAATAGCTAGATTGAAAGATACCGAGAAAGATAGGCCGAGAGAAAATAAACCATTTTTAAATAGTGGGGAAGGAGTCCCAGAGTGAGCAGGAAAGAGGACGCCTGGGCACCTGCAGCTCTTCCCCTCACTCACTTGTTTTCTGGACCTCTCACAATGCGCACATTATTCTTTGCTGAGTGTGATTCTGGAAGTCCAAAATTCCCCACCATTAACTCCTACCCCCCTAAAACCACTTTAGTTTATCCAGAGCTGGGTGAAAGAAACAGCAATCTGGCACTTCTCGCCCTTTAACTGACTATAAAAATAACTGGTTTTATTTATTATGTGCTTTCCCCTCACTAGAACGTAAGCTCTCTGAGGGCAGGGATTTTTGTCTGTCTGTTCACTTCTATACTCTCAACTCTTGGAGCAGTACTTTGCACATAGCAGGCATTTAATAAACATTTACGGAAGGAGAAACTAAGGGAAGGAGCGAAAGAAGGAACGGAGGCGGAAAAGGAAGGACAGAGAAAAACGGGAAGAACCACGGGAGGGGGGCGGAGTTAAGAAGGTCGGCCCAGCCTCGTTGCGGGTCCCCGGGCCGCCCTCAACACCCAGCAGAACTACAACTCCCAGCAGGCGCCAGGAGCCCGGGCGGGCCGCCGCGACCAGGCCCGACCAGGCTCCAGCCCACCAGGCTCCGGAGTGCCTTGCGAGAGCAGGCGCCGTCGCAGCGCCCGCCGGGACTTGTGGTTCGGACCGCGGGTGGGGGTGGGGCCGGGCATGGAGGCGGGCGGGGGCCGGGGGCGGGCGCAGGCCCCTCCCCCGTCACTTCCTGCGGGGCTGCGGGCGCCGGAGCGGCTCTTCAGCGTTTGCGCCGGCGGCCGCGCGTCTGCCTCGGCTCCCCCTTCCTCTGACCCCCCCGGCCCGGCGGCGCCCGCCTCCTCCGCGGCCACTCCGCCTCTTCCCTCCGCCGTTCCCTTCCTCCTCTCCCTTCTTCCTTCCTCCTTCCCCTCGTCGCTTCCCCCGGCGCCACCGCCGCCGCCCAGGACCGCCGGCTGGGGGACGAGC